GAACTTAAGCTTTGCTAATGTAAAGCTCCTGGCCAACACACCTCTCATTTCTTAATCCTACAACACTCGTGAAAGCTCTGCAAAACAACTCCCAGAGGCTTCATGTTAGGCGAAATGCATCGTTTTAGAAGGTTTCATGAACCCCCGCTCCGACCTAAAGGAAAATCAACCTGACCCGGTCACAGCTTTTAAATCAGATGATTCTTTCTCTCTCCCTCCTCGTTCAGCCCCGTCACACGCGCAAAGCTGCGCTGACAGCGTTCTTCTGAGATCGTGGGAACCACAGCACGTGCTGCTCAAGTTCTGCAACCTGTATTCTTCAAGTTGTTTTTTTTTTTAAAGTGAGAATAACATTTTTGAAGGAGCAGAGAACAGAATGTGACTAAAACAGTCATGCGAGAAGCTGTACTGTGCGCACGGCAATTATAAAACTCAGTGGCAGTCCCAAAGATGGACTTGTCAGGACTCATAAATTAATAAAACACATCTACTTTAGAAAAATCTATCAGGCTGTGGAAATACCAAACTGCAACAATCCCTTTTCCAGAAAAACCGCTGACTACACTTTATGAATACACAGAGGTCTTCCAGCTAGTTCAACCACTGGGCTGGCTAACAAACCTATTCGGTTTGCATGAGAACGTTAACGAACGGCTACGTACAACGCTCAGCTATTCACTTCCAGCAGCTTTGCCACCTGGAGAGGTTGCATCGCTCCGCTCCTGCTCACGCGTCTCCTTTTCAACCTTGCCGACCTAAGGACTTACACCTTCAAAGCGGGATTAGCAAGCGCACGCCCCAGCCCGGCTGCCTTCTGTCGCAGTACGATTACGCCAGTGACGGTAAACGCACTGAAACACGCAGCGCAATTCACTGGGATAAAAAACCAAAAGCGTACAGCCTGACGGCTCCATCAGGCTCACAAACGGCCTAAGAACGGCCTTTAAGGGTATCCGTGTACAGCGGAGGACGACTGAGAAGTCTGCCGGCGGTAGAGACAGAGGTTTCAACGTGCTCTGCGCCTCCAAAACGCGTTCGGTTGGGGGGGGGTTGATTATGGTGGAGGAAATATGATTCAAGAAAAAAAAAGATTTTTAGGTATCTTAAGACTGTGGTTTTCTGTGTTATTTCAAATGCATCCAAAACGCAGAGGATGCTCATTCAGCTGTATCAGAGTAGAAAAGTTTGGGCTGGGTGTCGTACAGCATGCAACAAACCAGTCTGATGCCAGAGCTCTACTGGCAAGGGGTGGCAGCCTTACACAGAAGCAGCGAAAGGCTCGTCCCAAAACGTCCAATGCCTGCATGCGCCTGCGTTTTTTACGGATCATCTATTACGTTAAATTGCTGTAAAGAACTGAAATAATTTCTTCATACGTTCCCCTGTAAATGTCGGGGCTCTTGATACCATCAGCTAAAAATAAAGCAACGCGTATGCAAAATCTGGAGTATTTTAAGTGAAAGCATTTACATGTCAACTTTGGGGACGGGGAAAGGAAGCTTTCACTTCTACCCTGACACTGCAGCAAGCCACCGAAACGTGACTGTCACAACCCAGCTGTTCCACGCTTGGGTGCCTCTTACACAGGCTCCCGATGGGCGACTCCTAAACATCTCAGCAGTCGGAGTTTGGTAGAGGAGTTGCAACGAGCATTGCTGCAGCAGTGCGATGTGCTACACGTCCCAGCCCTCAACGAAGTCCGAGGGCTTCACCCTACGGTAACGTGGCTTTTCTGTCTTAGGAGGCAGCCTAACATCATCGCCTTAAATTCTACAAATGCTAAAATACCTGAACCGTGTTCATTACTCTCAACTTTCATGATGTCATGTGTGATTAGCAACGTTTCCGTGCATGCTGATCAGGAATTATTCATCCTATTATTCACCCATTATTAATCCTATTAAGTCTCTACCTCGTCCAACAATCTCACAGAAGAGGGAGCGTCGTAACACGCTACAGACCCTAAGCGTTGCTTCCTGTGTTTGGTTTCTGGTGTCGCACGGGATTCTGTTTTTCATGGTTACTTCCGCCAAGTTCGCTCGCTCGCCAAGCAAACGAGGCGTTGGGCGCCGGCCGCCTTCAGCAGCGGCTCCGGACCGAACGCACCAACGCACCCCGTTTCCCGTGCCCCTGCACCACACGGCGCGGCTGCAGCGCCCTCAACCCAAACCCTCTGCGCAGGCTGGCTGCGCACAGGCGCGGCTGGCCGCCTCACCGCCCGTCGCCCTCACCGCCGTTAGGGTAACGTCTCTCTCACCAGAACAGACACAAGACCAAACGAACCCTGTGGTTTTCGGGAGGCAGATCCCCAGGTCACAGACACCACGCAGGCAAATCGCGCACGCTCGTACTGAGCCGGCCTCCGGCAGCTTGCTTTGCCCTCTCACGGATGGGGATGCAGTACCTCTTCCTCTGGAGCTCCTCTCGCCTCAGAGCTGCCCGAGGGATACCGAGCTTACCTTTTCCTGCTTTTCAGACACCTGCCGGGTGACTCTCATCCCCTGCAGGCTGAGATTCCCAAATTCCCAAGCCCGCATGCAAAGCAAAAGGTAAGTACCCCAGGCACCCAGCTTGCGCCACGTGCCGTAAGCAGCGCTGCAGGGGAGATGCGATACGCCCAGACTGCCGCTCGTGTGCCTTCCCTTACGTACCGACTGGAATACCTACCGTATAACCACGGGAAGTAGTCCTCGGGACGTATCCCGGTGACCTTCGGGCATGATCAACCACGTCAAGCCTCTCCACCTCGGCCGTCTGGCTGCTCTGTCGGCGAAGGAAAGCTCCTCACCCTACCTCGAGTCGCCCTTCTCCTCAGCTCAACTAGGTGATTGTAAGGAAATTTTCCTGATGCTTAGCTTCCCTTTTCCACAAACAGCCTGTATCTACCATCAGCGTGGGAGAAAAGACAGTTCCTATCCTCCCTAGAGCAACTTTTTCCGTATTCGAAGGCTGTTTTTACACCTTCCTCCTCTCTGGATTAAAGAATACATCCCCCCAGATGCCCCAACACGGACAGGTACCTCAGGTAAGGACTTACCGCACCTCGGTAACGCAGCAATACCCTCATGCTCCTGGCAGCCTACGCTGCTGATGCATCCCACCACGAGCATCTTCTCCGCAGGAAGGAGCCCACAGCGCTCAGTCTGTCATACCCCAACACCATCCCTGCCCCAGGGTGTTTTGTGCAGTAACGCCCACCCCCTCCTCTCTTTGTGCAGCTGACTATTCCTACCTAAAAGTATTTCCTCACGTGCCTTATTTTTCTAAACCGTTTCTCCTGTTTTCCACGATCACTTTCATTTCACATCTTGCCTGCCAGTCTGCTGCAGCCCTGTCAGCTTGGCAAGCGTTACCTGGATGAATAAAAACTTCAGCTACCTCCAAATGAGGACCTACATCTACATACCCCACAGAAAGCATCATTTCTTACATTTTTATTTCCCCACCACCTTTCTATTAAAGCCAGTTTCAGGCTGGAGACTTGCCACATGAGGTTAAGGATTTCTAAGGACATATTCCAATACCCTAGTGAGCTTTAAAACACCTCCTGCTATTTAAAAAATAGTAAAAAAATAATTTGGTACAAACAGATATCCTTCTGCTAAAATTCCTTCCTTTCAAATTGAGTTTTAAATTACTAACATGTGGAAGATTCAAATCTCAACAGTCATCCCATGACAAAACCATCATATTTTAGCACAGCCCTACAGAATTAGTCATAGAAATGATCTGAAAATCTTTTTTGTTTGTTTGAAAGTAGAGTTGCCAGCAGAGTTATTTTGTGGCAGAGCCCTTTTTCCTACCCCTCGAGGCTTTTGTCACGTTTCCTCACCAGTGAAGCTCTGTGGCTTCATAATCCACATTTTTCTCCGAGACCTCCACTGGCAATTAAGGCACCTGGCTTTAGAAAAGGAAAGGTAAGAAACATTACTAACACAAGCGGTTTAGGTTGTTTTGTTAGGTGGTGGGTTTTTTTAAACAGTTCTGAACTATTTTAAGCACCGCACACGTCCCATGCGGTACATGCAATGTTGCTACAGAGGTTTGACTGGCTCGTTTTCAGGTGGTTCTGCAGCTTGTTGCTGGCTTGGCCTCTCACCTAACCGCAACCTTCTCCAACCCGTGCTGATACAACAGAGTTTGCAAAACGTGTTCCCTGCTAGGTCACCTGTATATACAGGCTTGCTAGAAAAGAAACCTGTGATTCCTGGTAAATCTGGATTAGATATGATCGTGTGAACGTCTCCCATTTAAACGCTGGGTGGGCATGATTCGAGCTGATTATAACAGAAAAGCACAAACAGTTTTGTCCCATATTTGTAAACAGCATGCGGCATGTCAGTTTGGAAAAACAATCGTGTTTAATGTAGAAAAGGGTTGGGGCGAGGGATAAGGAGCCTTTCCTTTTCATTCTACCATGGAACAGACCCAAAGAGAAACAATTTTGTCATTCAACAATAAAAAGGAAAAGTAATCATTAGCAAGTTTTTGTATTATTGTTTCCAAACTGTTCACTGAAACCAAAACCAAGGGCCAAAATCTTCTTGCCTGGCTCAAGAGAATAATCCCCCTGAACTCAACAGGACTGACTACGCAATGCGGACAGCAAAGTTTGGCCCCAGATAAACATCCCCGTAACGAGGGAAAACACTAATCACCAAAGTGCACTTAACACCAGAGTAGCTACAGTTTCTTTATACATGCACAGTTTGTGCGACACTTTGTACATGGAACTAGCCAATGGAATATAAATAAGTGTGCCGCTTCCTTTTAAATATGAACATCGATAATGAAACACATTCACATTTTTCGCCTTTCAAAGACCTTTTGGAAAAAAATAAAAACGCCTTCCCCGAAGTAACCTGGAACATATCCTTAAATATAGCACATATGATTCAAAGAACGGTATGAAGGTAGAAGAACTTTTCACACACAAAACCGGTATTTGCTGTTTACTTGGAGTGACTTATGAAAATCCCAAGAAAAGACAATCCTCTCACCAGGAGAGGAAGGTAACAGTTGTAGTGTTAATTCAGTTTCTTCTGCAGGGGCTTGTTTTTATCTTCAGCATTTTCAGGGCTGAAGTCAGTACAGATACTATTAGGAGCTGAAAGAGATGAAGTCTCCAAGCCACTCTCAGCTCCCATCTGATCAGCACAGAGATAGTCTTCTGCAAAGTGTGGGTGCAATTCGGCGAATCTGTAGAAGTCATCTAAAAAAAAAAAAAGTCGTTGTTACACAGAATCAGCTCTTTGAAACAGAAGGAAGCTAAATCTGAATACTTACACGTATTTAATCACAAGATCACTCTGGAGAAAAATAGCAGCAGTTCACATAACACTAGCCCCACAGCTCGTTAGCTTCTCACCAGCTTACCACATCCCCAGAGCCGAGGTGCCGCAGAGAGTTATCTAAGCCTCAAAAGTTATCTAAGTCTTAAAACACTTCAGACCAGAACTGAGCTTGTGTGGTGATGCACTGGAGCAGGTTGCCCAGAGAAGCTGTGGATGCCCCATCCCTGGAAGTGTTCAAGGCCAGGCTGGATGAGGCTTTGAGCAACCTGGTCTAGTGGAAGGTGTCCCTGCCCATGGCAGGGGGGTTGGAACTAGATGGGCTTTAAGGTCCCTTCCAACCCAAACCATTCTGTGATTCCATGAAGGGGTAAACAGGCTCAGATTTTTATCAAAATGCATGAGGAGCACCACACGACCTGACATAGCATCTTACTGTTCACTGGGCAAAGGGCAGAAGCCCTGCAGCTGAGGAACAACGAACAGCAAGAGCAGTGATTTCTTAAAATCTGGGAAGCCTTTTGCAAACATGCCCTTTAATGCTTTGCACTCATCATTCTCTTTAACCTCTCAGCAGCTGTCATTGCTGCCTTCTGCTTTCACGATTTCAGCATTTCACAAGTCCGAATATTGTAGAGAATAGTGGGAGAAGATAATTTGTAACACTTTATGGAAGAACAGGATTTTAATGCTGGATGCTAATAAGACAATAAAAAGAGCAAGATTAGTTCTTGGGGAAGCCGAGAATCCTTAACATCAAGAAGTAACCTACTGTGTTAATAATCAGACACTGAAGCCCTGTCACAATTTGCCCGTTCAGACATGATTTGAGCACGAGACACGGTGCAGGATCCAAGTCACAAGGAGCTATTCTTACATGTAAACTGACACTGGAAAAAGCTGGATGTGAGCATTATCACTCACAGCCCACTCAAATTCACTGTGTTATGCCAGAAGAGCTCATGCTCTGGAGTTCCCTGGAGTGCAGCACAGATGATGGCTGAAGTAGGCTGTCAGAGGAGGGAAGCCCAGTTCCTTCTGGCACAGCTGGGCTGGTGTGGGAAAAGGGAACTACCACAGCTTTCCCTCTCTGCTATGCTTCTCTGCTCTTCTCAGTTCTGTGAAGGGGAAGGGAATGTGATTTGCTCACCGGGGCACTGACGCTGTAGGTCAGCCCTGCCTCTGAACTGTTGCAAAGGGATAGATGGGGACAATGCAACAGACAAAACTTCATCCTTATGCAAACCAAAAAGTGGGTATTCCTTTATCCACAGTTTATATGGAGCTAAAGTATTTTGGGTCCTGCAGCTCCAACAAAAGCTGATGAAGTTTCCTGGTGATGGGGTGGGGGGAAGAGTTGAGTCATCGCCCAAAGGAGTTGGGAGACGAGCAGCGACAGAGAGGGACAGGAAAAAGGCAATCGTGAAGGATGGACACGGAAATGCTGAGGATGTGACAGATGAGAAGTCCAGAAAGGAAAGAGGTAGTACAGTAGGAATCAGGGAGTCAAGAATAGCAGTCAGAAAAAAAAGGGGAGGAGAGGGCAGTGGCAGTGACATTCATCCCAACAACTAAAATAGTTCTGCAGTTGAAGCTTTACATAAAAATATAAATTGGAATTACTGGTGTAGAAATTGTCATTGTAAGACAGTGATGTCTTAATTTGTAAGATTTTTACACACTGAACACATAGTGATAATCCTGAAGGAAAAGCACTAGACCAGGGCATGTCGTAAGGAATTCTGCTGGAGAGATGCGTTACATTGGCTATCGACAACTCAATTAATACTTAAATGGCACAAATACATCTAGAGCCTTATTGCATAAAAGATTACTAATCTGAACTAACACACAAAACCTTTGATTCCCAGTTTAATCATCTCATCATTTTTCAAATGCAACTTTCTTGCCCCCGTTATCACCTGCATTACAGACTGCATATTGCACAGCCTGGTGAATACCCCCTCACTTCCCCTGCACGCTCGCTCGTGGCTTATTTTCAAATCAGCTGAGAAATTGTTATGGGAGTAGAAGAACTTACACAGCCTATATACTAGGAGGGCAGAAATAGTGGGCAACAGATACAAGAGACAAAACAAAGGGACAGAGGTAAGACAGCTGTCTTAAAAATACATATTCACAGACATGGAAGTCACAGAAGAGAATATGATGAAAGATCTAGGTATTGCCTGACTTAATGTGGAAGGGAAAACATGTGACTTGACAATTGATATTAAAGGTGAAACACAGTATTGGTTTTTTTAATGTAAATTTACTTTGTCTGCAGTGCTTTTGTCATTGTTGAAGTCAACAGGTCAACTAAAGAAGGTAAAGTTTAAGAAAAACATAACTGGTTTGTATATCAACATGACTTCAGGCAACTCTGACATTTTGCGACAGTTCAAATCCACCTAAAATACTTACCATATGTAATCTCTCCTTTTTCTTGTTCATCTACAGCTCTAAAAAGATGGCTAACATTAATCTGTGGCACACCCATGGCAGTCTTCAGAATATGAGCTAAATCCTCTTCTGTTATAGTTCCATTTTCTGACTGGTACAGCTACGAATCAAGACAGAAAGATAAATCACTGCCAGGCTGAATGGTAACTCCTATAAACAGCACCACATTAAGAAGTTATGCAAAATTAAGATTTGGCATTGGAAAGTCGAGTCGCTCTCAGATCGATGTGATGTACTAAGGATTTCTGGTTAGTCTGGGTAAAAGACAGCATTCATTATTAGTTCAGCTGGGTACGCTTAGGAAGTACAGTTCGCTACAGTCAGAAAAAAACCCTATGTTTACATGCCTAATCACTGGCATTTTGGTGATGTTCAGAGACAAGACTGTTTAACACTAATATGTTTTGCAGATACGTAGCTGAGAATAATTTTTAGTCCATTGACCTCTGTGTCCAAACTCCAAGAAAGCCTGTGGAATCAGGAGATACATCTGCATCAACCTAAAGCAGACACCTTTACCACTCAGTCAGATGTAAACCTCAAGATTCCTTTGACCAACATCCAACTGATTTGACAGCCAGTTCACATAAAATGCCTACACCTAAATGGTGTTGCATTAATCGGGTGAATCCTACCCCATAAAGTGATGGACTTATAAGTGTCTACAATACTTACTCAAAATTCTAGAAAATAATAATCTGCATATTCTTCAGTCCTGAAGAAAAGAGTTTCCTCAAAGGAAGAGTTAGCTTTACTACCGACAGGAGATTGGTAACTAAAAATAATTGTTCACAGTCTCATTCTGTGTTTGTGTATGTACAGTGTTTTCCCCTGAAAAAAGGGCCTGACTATTTCAAAACATCTGTAACAAATACAACTTCATTAAACTTTCTAAAATAACTCCATTTGCCTGTGCAATGGAAATTGAGACAGAAGGGTTTCTGAAACATGTCTCATTTTCAAGCATGACAACACTGCAAATACTGAACCATGTAAAATATTCTATTTAGGAAACTTCCTTTTAGTTTCTCTACATCACTGACAAGGTGGGGACTGATGCAATTGAACAGAACAGGCATAAGGATGCATTTTTCACACAGGCAGAAGTTGCTGTCACAAGACAGCACACGTCACTGGAATAAAGTCAGCGGAATAAAAACACTGGAGTGCCACGGAAGACCACATTCACGCTCAAATCAGGAATCACGCCTCTTCCTCCCTCAGCACCTAACTTGCACGCTGTTTTGCAAGGAGTAGGGGCAAGGACAAGACACTTGTTTAATAAAACCTGCTGTGTTTTCACAGATCAAGGAGGCAGGAGGTGACACTTGATGCTAAAGCTCACAAGCGCCACATTGGCAACATTTACAACACCCTTTCATTGCCTCAGCAATTAGGAAGGAAAGATGCGTAGCACTTACACTGCAGTGCTGCTCTTAGACTTGACTGCCACACTCCCTCCTCATCGCCCACCCCTTCAGAACTCCAGTGGCTCAGCAACTCCTATTTTTCAAGTTCTTCAACCATATACTAAACACTCCCACTTTGAAAACTTGTTCAGCTACACGAAATGTTGCACTTCATCCCTGAAAACAAATGACAAGGTGCTTTGCACCCAGCAGCACATGGCAGAGGACAGCAACTGCTCAAAGTCACACATTCATGAACTGGCTAGATCCTTCAGTGGCTCCCAATAAACTGTGAGAGTATCTCACTGTACACAGACCCAGGAAAGGAAGGGAAGAAAGGATATAAAAAGTCTTTCCTGCTTTTCTAAAATACTGTGAAAAAACTTCCTTAGCTCAAGGCTTTTTTTAACCCTTCCAGACATCACTATCAGGATAAAATGAGCCATACCTGCTTCCCCTTGCTGAGTGCTTCCCCTTCTTTATACATGCATGGAACTTATTTGCAGTTCTACAGTTAACTGTATTTTGCTATTAACCAGGGAACTCAGAATTACGTGTTAGGAGTTCAAGAACAGAGCAGATAGTGAAGAACAGAATTTTTTAAATAAACAGTTTTATTAACTTGGGTACTTCCAAAAAGACAGCAATCGCCTAATCTGAGCTTTTCTCCCTTGAAAACGGTAAAAGTATATTGTACTTTACGCATCACAACAGCTAAATTTCACTGAAATACTGCCCAAAAGCCACATTCAAGTTTGCTTTAGGCCTGTTCCTTTTAGTATGAAGACACAGAACTGACCAAACAGCACTTCACCATTTCTCTATGCCATTATATAGATCACACGGAATAAGGCAGGGCAGAGCCCTTTCTGCTTTTCCCTCAGAAATAGCAGTAACAGCAGCTATTAGAGGCAGATTTCCCCCAGTATCTGTAGAAACTAAATATTTTTGTTCCTTCCTCCTTTGTCAAATTTGTTTGATACTGACCAAAGGGTAAGAATGATAGATGCGAACACTAAACATTCACAGGAGCTTCATTTCTTCAGGAGAACACGGTTAAGAAAATAATACTGAAGTTCACAGTTAAGACAATAATAATATGCTGAAGAACCTGGAAACAACTGCTCAGAAAATAAGGCTGCCACCTAGTACCACGTGAATGAATGTTCTCAACTCCACACATTCTCCAGTGACAACAGCTTCGAGATTTAGCACTTTCTGGTTTCGGTAACACCAAAGATCATGTGAGTCTGAGGCAAAGGGAAAAAGATGGAGGATGCAGCAGAGTCTGTGTATTCAAACAGCAGTAGTAGAGAAATTCATTAAAAAAAAAAAAAAGCAGGTGTCAGACTGACCCACCAGAATGTCAAACATTAAGTGTTACTGCTTTCACTTTCTCCCAAAGCCGGCATCAAACATCCACGCTGATGCTACAACAAACCACTGAGGCTAGAAACAGGATCAGCAGCACTTCTGGGAAACATGAAGAGACTACAGGACCAAACACAGAAACATGGGAAGACAAAGAGGGAAGAAAATCTTGTCAAGAAGATAAAATGGGGTAAAAAGATGAATCTCTTAATGTGTAGGAAGTTTTAAAATATTTTAACAACTTGAAAAATAGGATTTGATTGAAACATTATGAAAGCAATAAGCACAACTCCTTAGCCTTTAGTTTAGAGGAACCAATATAAAAGGACTTCAGGTCTGAGACGCAATGTGCTGAGAAAGATTCTGCCGGAGTTCCACAGAGAACAATTTCAAACTGTAAAGTCCCATAACTGCACACAACTTAAACTTGCAGTGCATTCCCTCTGAACGTGACCTCTCAACCTAACTTTCCATTAAGGTTATTTTTAAATGTAATTAAGTACTAAAAGGGCATGTAAAACTAACTTCTGTTAAGTCTAACGGCAGTATTAATTTCTAAAATAAATAAATAATAAACAACAGAGGAAAGAAAACGCTGCTTACCTGAAATGCTAGCTGAGTTGTTTCCAGAGTTTTCGATGGCTTACAGACAACCGACAGCGCAATGACAAATTCCCGAACGTCAATTATGCCATCTTCATTCTGTGAAGGAAAACCTCACCTCAAAATACTTCAATTTGTCTAAGGACTTTCATAAATAACTAACAGTTGCTAAAGATACAGCATATTCAGAAGATCATTACATATGCCATGGCAAAAGGGGTCTCACTGAAACGGAATTAATCCAGGGCAAGAACCTGGGTCACCAAAGCTCTGCAGGCCCTTCTCAGAGTCTCAGGTCAGCAGCCGTAATTCAAAGATGCTTGCAAGTCAGTGCTGCCATCACCCTTCACTCGCATAGTTAACATTTTCGCGCTCACCCATCTGAATTACTGAGTTGAAATTAAAATCAGAGAACCAGAGGGCAAGGTAGCCTAATTTAAACCTGGAATCCATGGCATTTGCTTTTTGGCCTAAGAGAGAACACTCTGTGGACACATCCATCTCCTGGTGCAAGCAGTACCTCATCCAGACAAAGATAATAGTCATTTCTCCATCCTGACTGACTGCCAGGGGAATGAAAAACTGGCGCATTTGCCAAGTTCCCTCAGATTTCAGGCACCCTAGAAGAACAAGTCATTTATTTACAGGGTAAGCGAAATACCACTGCATTCAGTTGCAACAAGCCACAGCAGAGCTTTAGCCTGAACCCATCTTTCGTCCTCTTCGTATTTTGCATCTAGAGAGAAAATCAGTTTTGTCCAACTGATACTCCTTTTAACTTCTACCTGAATGAATGCTCTATTTAGTTGACAACAGGTGCTGTTACCCTGCTGAAAGGGAAATACAGCAGGCAAAAACTGCAGCGAAGCGCGCAAAAGCACTCAGCACTGGCCCAAATCAGGCTTCGCTGAATTCAACAGGAACAGAATTAGCCTAAGGCAGCATTTATTACAAAGCAGTACAGCTATTAAACATGATGTTTCTTACCTCATCAAAAAGCGCAAACATACTTTCTAATGTGTGTGAAACTGGAAACTCCAGGTATGCTGAAAATTCTTTAAGATCAACTTTTTCTTTTTTCATTTTCATGGCACTTGCAGCATATTTATTGAGATAATCTTCTAGTGTTTCTGGCTTCAGCCTAGAAAGTGTATTATTTTTGCACATTTTAAAAATTAAACCAGTTTTAACAATACAAATTTCAGTATATCAAATGAAGCACTTGATGATGATGGCGTAAAGCATGACCAAATCTGGAATCAGACTTACTAAGCAAATTTATTATAAAAGAATACATTCCTGTAATTTTAAGGCTTCCGTTAGTTCTTGAACTGTGTTAGAAATTACTGCAAGGGCTTAGGAACCCTGGCCATAAACTTCTTTATCCTACCCTGATTATAAGCAGTACGTGTAAGCACTTCAACATGAACAAGAAACACAGGCTAGAACTAGCCAATAAGAAATAGCAGGCAGAGAGAATAAGGTGGGATTTAGGTCACCTGAATATGGCCGTCTTGTAGGACAGTAACATAAACCAATTATGATTCCAAATTTACTAATGTCACTGATCAGGAAAGACCTGATGCATCTTGCCTAAAAGAAATCGGGGATTACATAACAGTGATTAAACTGTTAATCTTGTTTGTCAGTCCTCATTTTTCACACTCAGTCCGGAGTTGGGACACCATTATGAGGTGAGCCCAAAGTTATAGCAGTTAAAACAGCTACAGAAATTCCCTCAGTCTTGCTGATGGCAAGCACAGGTATCTACTGCATGTTTGGTGATTTCTGTTGTTGTTGTTTGGGGTTTAGGGTTTTTTTGTCAAGCCAAGCTTCCTTCCTTTTGCTTTGCAAAAGTAAGCTACTATGAATATAAAAAATGGTGCTGCAGGTATCTTGGAAAAAGTAAATTCTCTCCCTAATACAACAACCAAATCTGGATCAGCAGGTTTCCTCTGAACTGATTTAAGGTAACACTGGGATCCAAACCTCCCAGTCTGAAGACAAAAGAAGCCAATAAAGTCTATCTTCAATATTCCCCTGCAGTTGCCTGTTTTGCTGTTTGCTGCTGCAGACGAAGAAGAGCAGTTATTTAAAGAACTCACAAGCTGACACCAGAATTGTTCCCAGACTGCAGCTGGGAGTCCTCAGCAGCTTCCTCCCAGTGAAAAGAATGAATAAAATACTTAATATCAGCATTCTCAGGAGCTTCTGAAAAAGCATAAGAGCATTTCTGATAGGAAGATTATCTGTCAGCCCCAGTCCTTGATCACTTGCTGAAATGACAATTCCTAAAAATCACTTTCAAGTAAAAACACAACCACTATAAATCTGCCATTACCTAAACTGACTTACCAAAAATGTACTAACTAAAAATTGCCAAGCCCTGAATTTCTGAGTTATATAACCAGAAAATCCAAGACCAGAGACCAATGGCCTTGTACTGGCTTTGGCTGGGATAAAGGCTTTTGCTTTCCCTATTAGAATCACAGAATGGTTTGGGTTGGAAGGGACCTTAAAGACCATCTAGTTCCAACCCCCCTGCCATGGGCAGGGACACCTTCCACTAGACCAGGTTGCTCAAAGCCTTGTCCAGCCTGGCCTTGAACACTTCCAGGGGTGGGGCATCCACAGCTTCTCTGGGCAACCTGCTCCAGTGCCTCACCACCCTCTCTGTGAAGAATTTCTTCCTGATATCTAATCTAAACCTCCCCACTTTCAGTTTAAACCAGTTACACCTTGTTGTGTCACTACAGGTCCTTGTAAAAAGTCCCCCCCAGCTTCCTTGTAGCCCCTTCAGGTACTGGAAGGCTGCCATAAGGTCTCCCTGGAGCCTTCTCTTCTCCAGGCTGAACAAGCCCAACTCTCTCAGCCTGTCCCCATAGCAGAGGGGCTCCAGCCCTCTGATCATCTTCGTGGCCTCCTCTGGACTCACTCCAACTGGTCTATATCCTTCTGATGTTGGGGGCCCCAGAGCTGGCTGCAGCACTCCAGGTGGGGTCTCACCAGAGCAGAGTAGAGGGGCAGAATCCCCTCCCTCGACCTGCTCGCCACACTTCTCCTGATACAGCCCAGGATATGGTTGGCTTTCTGGGCTGCCAGAAACTGTCTATTGAACTATCTTTATCTCAACCCACGAGTTTTCTCACTTTTACTCTTCCAGTTCTCTCCCCCATCCTGCCAGGGACAGGGTAAGCAAGCAGCTGTGTGGTGCTTAGCTGCCAGCTGGGGTTGAACCATGACAGGCCCCTACAGAACATTCATATGCTGTCCATCCTGGCATTAAAGCACCTATCTTAAGTCCTAGACATCATAAAAGAGCAGCAGAACTCTCCTCTACAAACATTCATTTTTCACAGTCAAGTGAAAAAGTAGCAGGAACAGTGACAAACGCCCATGGAAGACTTGAGATGCACGCAGAACTTGGCTTCTCACACACAAGATTACATGTAAGAAGTGTCCACAGATATTACATCCCCACTGTAGTAGCTGAAATGGATTTTAACTGTAGGATGAAGGACAGCTGGCATCCAAATCCTCCCTTGAGATAATCCACCACTGACACGGAATACTCAGTGTAACATCTGTCCTTAAATCAGAGACATTTGATTTGCAATGAACTGACATAAAATTCTCCTTCTAGAACTGAGTAAGTACTCGTTTGGTGAAAAGTATTTGAGACTTGTGAGATCTCTTCTTCACCAGTCAAGTCAAAAAAGCTAAAAGGTTTAAAAGCAAAACCTTGTATGGAAAGTAGTACGGCTTGCCACGAATCTTACAGGCATCCTGTGGGTTTGGGTTTTATAAACAGGTATGAGCCAATCTCAAAAGAAGTATGTGAATCAGCGAGGCAAAGCTATTGCTTCAGCTTGAGTATGACTGCACTGTACTGCAGGTAATTCCAGGTGGGCTCACTTCCCTCTAACCCTTTCAGAATCACAAACTAATTGATGTGGAGATCACCAGGACCAACTATACTGAAGTCTTTTGAAGCAGTGTTCCAAATGCCACGACAAGTTCTGAAACAATGTAAAATCATTGGAATGTCTCAATTCCTTTAGAATTGTTACTTTTAACCCAATGGATGCTATAAAAAGGTACAAGGCCAACAGTGGACGTCTTTGCTCATGAAATCATGCTTGTTTGCCTCATGACCTCCATGCAGGATCTAGGCTTTCCGATATATAACATTATTTGCTGCTGTAGTGTTTTGCTTCATGTTTTAGGCCAGTGACACTAAAGAGAACCAAAAGTCATTCCCGAGTCCCTGAAGATGGAAGGAGCATTTTTCAACATTAACAGCTCTGAACGTTAAATCCTTCACCGCAGACTTCACAAGGAAAACCAGACCACTGAAGGTAGGATATTTTCAGTGTAATTACCACTACTTGTAGCAAGTGAGATGTCTTACCTCCTTAAAGCTCGTTTTAGATGTATTTGACTATTTGAAAACAAACTCCTTCCTGGCATGCTGGGAACCCGCCAGAAAACTAGTGTCTCACAGAGCCAGAAGCTGCATGAGAACAGCTGGATCTTGTAGCTAGCTACTGCAAAATGCAAGCTCAGAGAAACATGCCCTAAGCCAGAGGAGCACATTCAGTTTTACGTCTGCTGACGTACTTCTGTGCAAGATCTTGTCGTGATGGAGCAAGGACACGGAACAGCTGCAAAACTGACCTTCCGAATACTCCGGCATACCCTGCCTGGTCTGCGAGGGAGGCTATCACGGCTGGTATTTGCTACGTTAAGTCTGATCCGTGATCACCTCCTGTAATGGACAGTATTGACTTTACCATGAATGTAGATGGACAACATCCTCCAGAGGTCTTCTGTTGTTACAGATGATCTCTGAACACTCTGAAGTCCTGGCACTGTTGTTTAGCTGTGAAGGGTTATTACTTTGGGGTTGCAAAGCTCCACCTACAGTCTGGGCCATCATTTCAGGCACACACAGACAGCAGAAGTTTGTACTGCAGTCTGGATGGTAAAGGCTGTTGAGCAAGAACACACAGGCACCAGCCGATGAGGTAATTATCTCCCCCTTTCAGATCTTACAAGCCGACAGGAACATTGCCCAGTAGGGTCCTCATGGCCAAAGGAATGGGATAATATTGGGGAGAAGTGGTCAAAGTGGAACTGCTGCTTAAATCAGGTCATTCTTACCAAAATACTATGGCTTTTGGCAGCAGAAATTATTCAACACAAGTAGGTTTACTAACAATGAATTTTACTAGGGCCAGGGAGCATGTAAGGAGCTAAACCCTGCAGGCTTGTCAAGGCTGTAGAACACTCTTCCAGGGCAGACATCATTAGAACCCATTGCATGGGTATAAGACACCAAAAATACTCAGGCTCAGGAAAGCAAAGGAAATAGCTAAGGATCCAAAAAGAATAAAAAAATAATTTGCTGCCTGCTGTTAAAGGTAAGAATTACTGACTAAGAGTAATCCTACTGAGAAAGCTAAGAAATCTAGAAGGCAAGAACAGGGGATTTTTCTGAAATCTGACCTGAATTAATGTTTTGGTGCAAACCATACCTTTTAAAAAGAAGTGGACATAATCAAACCCATACTGTCTCCAGTGAAAAGTACAAAGAATCTCAGCCTATGTGCTAAATGCAAACACCAGATCAAGAACCTGCCAAACCAAAGGGGTCTTGTGCCACATGTATACCAGTAATAAAATGCACGTTCATCATGACAGGTGTCCTGGCTTTGGCCGGGACAGAGTTAATTTTCCTCCTGGCAGCTGGTATAGACAAGCAGAACAGAGTCACCAAAAAAAAAAAAAAAAGAATTATACTTGGGATTGCAGTATGTGCTACATTTGGCAGTTGTTTTTTCTTTTTATTTTGAAGAGACGAGAGATCTAATTTTAAAAAAATGAAACAATAAAAATGGATAATAATCACAACTAAAAGAAAAAAAACCCAAAACCAAAACCAAAATAATTTCACTGAAAACTGGGAATTTTCTAAGGAGCTACTGAATGCCTAAAATGCACAGTTCCATAAGAAAGGGGAACAACAATTAAGGCTAGACGGAGGTTGCAAATGCAGGAATTAGAATGAACAGAAGTTTGAGGCAATAGGAACAAATCAATTCAAATGAGAACTTAAGGATCTCCTTGCAGGCAACTACC